TCTTCTTCTTCTTCTTCTTCTTCTTCTTCTTCTTCTTCTTCTTCTTTTTCCTCTTCCGGCGATGAACACGACTATCCAGAATATATATCTATATATACATGGGGGAGCGTTTAAGGAAACTTGGGGGTTTCATAGTAAAAAAAATATTTAAATTATACGATACACGGATAGGCCCAAAATCTTCAACGCATTCTTGTACGTAAAGAAATTAGGTCAACTGGAAGGGTTATTCAGGTGCACAACAACTATGTACACAAAGTGAAAATGAGACAATTCCGCACCCGACACAACAGCCAGCACCAAATAAAAAGAAGAAGGTATCCAGAAACCTAGACAACAGCTTGAGTAATCCGAGAACTGAAAACACCTATTTTATGGAAGGAAATCTAGTAGAGAAGAGGCAAATGCAGACGTACCATCAGCTTTGTACAACTTGGTTCTTCCTCCTCCGGGTCCCGGTAACGACTGTCCGTTGATTGACGACTCGATTGCTGACAAAAAAGCGGTATGTGTGATAGCGGGTTAACCAGAAGCGAATCCATCGAGTTCACAATTGCCACAGAACGTGAGATTTAAGAGGCATGTGTCAGCACCGAGAGCAAAGGCGGATTTAAAGCTAGGTCCCAGGAAGCAGATGATTCGTCGGGATTGGACATCCAACGAAGTTATCAGTCACAAATTTCTTCCGCACAACTGAAGCTTGCTGAACAAGTTACCTTAGACATTATCAGGCCATTCTCCAACTTCTCCAACAATTTAAGTAAGCATATAAAGTAATGCGTACTATGCTAGACGCTGTTGTTAATGTGGTGTATTCTGCTCTAGGAGCGTTACACAAGAATTGCCGTACTTACACATAAGTATGAGAATAAAACTTTCTTTGGGGAAAATGTCCAATTTTATTTTGTAAATTTTCGACACGGACCAACCGGTTGTCGTCAGACGTGGAAAACTGTGCAACAAACAACTGCATCACAACTGGAACACGCGATCTTGTAGACAACCCCTTTTCTTTAAAGATAGCTAACCCTGTCCTTAGGGCGTACAAGCTGTGAACGTAATGTGTTTGCGGGCAGGTTTGCCACTTTTATCTGTTGTTTTTTGAGTTGTCTTTCGACAAGCTTAGATACATTCTTCACGTAGGGGAGAGAACGCCAGGTTAGTGTTTTCGGTACCTGGCTGGTCGTACCAGTTGAAATGCCTTTTTCATTTCTTTTGGATTCTTGTTGTTTTATGCATTGGAGCACGAAATTTCGTGGATATCTGTTTTTGGAGAATAATTGTGGCCAAACTGGGAAATGCGCTCAACCCGCATACACTAACATCAATCAGGGGTCAGAAGACGATACCATTTATCCCAGGTGGCCATGCACACACTGGAAACC